ACGACCCAAGATGCTCCTCGATGGCCCTCGCCGAGACAAGGGCACACGTCCGAGCGATGCCAAGCTTCTCCTTCCTCGAAAGTGGAAAGCCTCGATCAGCGGGGGGGAAGGGATGGCACGGTGCACCTCTCTGCCCCTCGGGAGCTGCAGGCGGGGAGCAGGACAGGGGGGAGGAGCGGCAGCTGCACACTCGGAGAGGCCCAGCACCGTGAGACCTGCCCTCGTCCTCAGTGGGCCAAGGCTCCTTCGTGCCACTGGCCTGCCCCCTCGAGATAGGGCTGTGGATGCCATGACAATGGACACTCTGACAATGCGATCACTAAATTAAGCATGTGATTAAAATGTGTAAAACATGTTCTAAAAACGTTTCAAGCATGCTTCCCACATAGTTAAAACATGTTTGAAGCATCTCCTAGACATCTAGAAAGTATTTGGCAGCATGCTTCCCCTCCATTAATCGACTTCCACAGAGATCGGGGCGGATGCCGTGACACCCGACGGGGGGGGCACCTGCCCCCACCTGCGGGGGCGTGGTCGGACTGTGGGGCTGGGGCTCTCCCCATGGGGGTGGGGATCTTGGGAGGCAGCCTGAGACTGGCCATCGCTCGGACGTCCATCCCCTGTGCTTTTTCGGTTTCGTGCGTGGTTTTTTCGCCAAATGATCAAGGATGCTCCTCGATGGTCCTCGCCGAAGGAAAAAACACACACGTCCAAGCGATGCCAAGGAGACGAATCCAGGACGAGGATCAAATTCGGGTGAGGATAAATCGAGAGTCTCTGAGATCCAGCAGTTCTGGAGGATGTCTCGGGCGCCGCGGCCTTCTCAGAACGTTCCGGAACGCTCTGAGAGCGCTCTGGAACGCCCTGAAAGGGATTTATCCTCATCCGAGCACCGTCCGGCAACTCTTGGGAGGTCTTCGTGGGACTGCGAAGCCGGACGACATAAGCCATGACAGTCACCACATCAAACCGTGCTGCCAGGCAAGGCCAAATACAACTGGGCCTAGGACAGAAGAACATCCTTCAAGAACATGAGACCCCCCGCTGGCCCAAACTGAAAGCCACTCGAGGGTACCCTCCCTCAAGATGCACATAAACATCCAACAACCACGACAAATATTACGGAACCCTCCCCGAACCGACCTCGATCTTGTAGCTACCTCGTGCCGACCCCAAAAGATTGGCGCCGATGCTGAATTCGAGCTCCCTGGAGCTGCAACCTAAGCCGTAGGTCTACGGCAAGCTCGTGTCGTGACGACGTCGGCGCCTGCTTCCGGCATCACGTACACTGGTCGGACCTTGATCTACCGCGGCTCTCCGATGGCTCAAACCGTTCGCTGGCGGCCGATTCCGGGCCACCAGCGGCGGTCAGGCTTGAACGCCCGCGCTGGGGTCTGGCGCCACGCCGACACGACACGAGGAGCCTGCCTCGACGAATGGCGAGGGGCGGAGAGCAGCGGCACGCCTGCTGCTGCTCCCGCACCGGGAGACGGCAGGCAACGACGCAGGGGGCCTTCCGGACGACGGAGAGATTTTGGGCGCTGTGCAAGTGGGGGGTGCGAGAAACGAGGGGGGAAGGGGGCGGGCGAAGAACCGTACGTGCACCTTTCGTGCCACTGTGGGGCCCCAGGAGGCCCCCGTTGGTGCCTCTCGAGGTGCAAGCAGAGGCGCACCATTCTCTACCCACGCGCTTGTCGCCCCCCCAGTTACGACGCAACGCCCGAGAGAGGCTGCTGATGCTGCTCCCCGGGAGACGACGGGGCACGACGCAGGCTGCTGCTTCCCGCCAGAGGGCGGCGGAGCACCTGCCCGACTGCGCCCGCGCCGACGCGGCGCGAGCCTGCGGTCGGAGTGGCAGCAGGCCGCAGCAGCAGGAGCGACGCGGCAGACGTGCGGCGAGAGGCCGGGGGGCGCTGGCTGCCGCCGAATAGCGTGGCGCACCACGGGACGGGCACCCCTCCAGGAGTCGGCGCCCGGCATCATCATCATCATCATCATCATCATCATCATCATCATCATCATCATCATCATCATCATCATCATCATCATCATCATCATCATCATCATCATCATCATCATCATCATCATCATCATCATCATCATCATCATCATCATCGTCACCACCATTGCCACCACCACCATCGTCATCACCGTCATCGTCACCATCGCCATGAACAGCACCATGGTATGCCATGATCATCATCATCATCCTCCTGTTCACCCCTCGTCGTCCTCTCCCTCGTCCTGCTATCACTGCTACTCCTCTTCCTCCTCCTCCTCCGCCTCGTCCTCCTCCTCCGCCTCCTCCTTCTCTTCTCTTCTCTTCCTCCTCCTCCTCCCATCAAAATTGGCCCCTTCTGAAGAGCGCTCTGGCAGAGAACTCGCGGCGGATCAGGCCGGCGTCGACGGCGGAATTCCCCGTGGAGGCAGACGCCGTCGCAGATCTGCGTGCGTGCGCGCAGCCCGGCGTGAGCGGCGGAGCCACGCCAGCGCAGAGAGGGGGGGGGGCGTGGTCCTGCTGAGGGGCGCCACGGTGGAGCGCGTGGCCCGCCCCTCCGCGAAGCTCTTCGGCGAGACGCTGTCCTCCTCGGGGGGGGGGGGAGACAACCGTCACCGTGCCGTGAGGCACGAGTTGGAATGCAGCCGCATGGAGAGAGGTAGGCGTCCGGGTGGCCCTTCCCCTCACTCGCCATCGCTCGGACGTCCATTCCCCGTGCCTTCTTCGATTTCGTGCGTGTTTTTCTTCGCGAAATGGTCGAAGATGCTCCTCGATGGTCCTCGCCGAGAAAAAATGCACACGTCCGAGCGATGCCAAGCTCGTCGCCAAGAAGAGCTGGACGGATCGGTCGTGGCCTCTCACGAGCTGGCGGGCCCCCATCGGACCCCCTGCAGTCCTCGGTGCTCAGTCCTCGGGGCTGAGCACTTCAAGGGCCCGGACCCCTAATTCCTAAATCTCTGGCTAGGAGGCAACTACTGGGAGGTTTTCGTCGGAAAGATTGAAGAGGATTGAGCCCCATCTGGGAGCTGTTACGCCGGAGTGGGCCTCTGATTAAGCGGGAGTAAGCCGGATTAAACGGGATTAAGCGGGATTAAGCCGGATTAAACCGGATTTCGGACCAGGGCAAAATCAGAATTTGACCTCCCAGGAGTTGCATCCGAACTCTGGGGGCTCCTGGCGTGCCTCCCGCGGTTCCCGGGCGCCTCCCGCACGTTCTTCTCGGAGACACGAGCGCCCCAAAAACGGGCCAAGAGGGCCTCGAGAGGCCTCCGACCTGCAATCCAGGCGCGGTGGCGGGATGGGCCGAAGGCCAGCAGATCTTCCTAGCGAAACAAGCGCTGTGCCTTGCGACGAACGATGGTGACACTGGAATGCACCAAACATGCCCGGAGCCACGCAAGGACCAACCTGCACTTGGCGAACCCGCGCACGAAACCTTGGCTTATGCAGCAAAACGGAGCCAGATTATGATGAGGGCCTGGAGGAGGGCGAGGAGGGGAGAGGGGGGACAGCGTGGCAAAAGAATGGCTGTCCTGGGGGAAAGGACAGTACGCAGCCATCGTGCCACCATGAAGATCGCAACATAAACGAGGAGCCCCCCAGGAGCCCCCCAAGAGGCCCCCTCACCCCAGATCGCCCCCAGTGTCCCCAAGGCCTTTCCAACACGACCCAGGAGCAGTAGCGGGGTGGGCCGAGGGACATCATATCTCCGTCTTCATATGCAAGCCGCCACTGCCCCCCGTCCCCCTTCCGCCTCTTGCGCTCACGCTGCTCACTTCTCAAGGAGGAGAGAGAGAGAGAAGGGAGAGAAGGGGGGGAGGAGGAGGGGGGGAGGACGAGGAGGAGAAAGAGGAGGGGAGGGGGAGGAGGAGGAGGAGGAGGAGGAGGAGGAGGAGGAGGAGAGGAGGGAGGAGGAGGAGGAGGAGGAGGAGAGGAGGGGGAGGAGGCGGGGGAGGAGGAGGAGGAGGAGGAGGAGGAGGAGGGAGAGGAGGAGGAGGAGGAGGAGGAGGAGGAGGAGGAGGAGGAGGAGGAGGAGGAGGAGGAAGGAGGAGGAAGGAGGAGGAGGAGGAGGAGGAGGATCGACGGATCTCGTGCCGTATACCTTCAAGGGGCGAGGGGCCTCTCCTGGCCACTGCGAGCCTCGGCCACGAAGACGTGCCCCAGCCGAGATCTGAGGAGCTGCCCGAAGACCAGAGCCCCTCCTGAGCCCAGAGCAGTCCTCGGCGGTGGACACACCTCCCTTTAGTAAACCTCCCCTTGGTGAAAGCGGCCTGGGGCCGAACCCGACGGGCCCGGACCCGCAAAAATGACGGCCGCGACGCCCTCTCGCGAACCGAAAGCGACCAATTCCTTAGTCGACGTGTCAGGGCAGGAGGTCTGTGCACCCCCGAAGTCCTTATTTCAGCAGCGTGACTGCACAGCACGATCCCCGATCCTCGAAGGTCGATCCATATTTGGGGGGGAAAGGAAAGAGGGGGGGAACACTACGATCCACCACACACATAAAGCACCAGCCCTGGGTGGAACATCGTGGAACAAAAGGCGGCAAGGTAGATACAATATTGCATCATGGAAACATCAGCTCTCCCTTCTGAGTGGCAGCCGCAGAAAGGGTAGGAGGAGAAGGAGGAGGAGGGGAAGAGAAGGAGGAGGAGGGTAGGAGGAGGAGGAGGAGGAGGAGGAGGAGGAGGAGGAGGGAAGAAAGCCGAGACAACGTCGACAGCAAAAGACACTCGCGCCTGCGCAGACCTGTCAGGACGGACTGGACTCGCACAGAAACCCTCCCCAAGCACAAGGGACGGAGAGAATGGGAGGGCAGAGGGGAGGAAGCAGGCCAAGGAGGAGAGCAAGACACTGAGAACACAACACTGCAAACATGTTCTCGAACCTCGAGCCTTGCAGGAGAAAAGACACGAAGCACACGGAGGGATGCGCAGATTTCCGTTTCGGCGGTGCACCCCGCCTGGCGCGGGTCCGGCGCAGATCTCAGAGATCCGAACGG